TTTATTCCCTTCTTTAAACCAATTTACTACTTAATTGCCTTCCTCCTTTGACATGGACCTTTTAATAAGTATGTTTTAACCATTCCGTAAAAATGTGATTCTTTTTTTCGAAAATTGCCAGTGGGAGCATAGAGAGAAAGCATGCCTCAGTGGGACACGGTCACGTGGAAACCCTTTTCCTTCGTCTCTCCATCTCACCAAGATTTGAGGCACACATGCTCACGTCCCTGGTGAATTTTTCAAACTGCTGGGACTGGAACAGAAACCGTAGTCTGCTATGTGGGATCTGGTTCCTAATGCACATGCTCAAACACTATGCTATGAGGCTGGGCCTAAATGGGATTCTTTAGTTTAAAATATTTCACTTAGATAAAAATAATTTTAATATCTTTGTAGGGTATTATTACTGAACAATGCAAATGTATATAGTTCAATTATTTTTTTATTTTTTTATTTTTTGGCTAGAGAGTGTATGCACTCACCAGAGAAAGAGACACAGACAGACAGAGAGAGAGAGAGAGAGAGAGAGAGGAGAAAGTACCCTCCATAGAGAATAGTCATGCCACATGCCACAATCCCTCCTTCTCCATCTCTCTCTCTTTTGGGGATTTTAGCCATATATGTACAAGGCACCTGGCATGTTTTTCTTTCTTTTTTAGAGATTTTTTTGTTATAGGGTGTGTGCTTGCCAGGGCACAAAGTCACAAATCATCCATCAGGGAAGATGGCCACACTGCAATCCCTTCTCCCCCAGTCTCCTCTTGGGATTTTGGGCATGCATGCACACGCTCCCAGCATGAGTTTTAAGCCTCCAGGTCTGAGACTCGAACCATGGTTGGCTATGTGGGAGTCCAGCGATGTAAACATCTCACCATCTGCTTGTCCCACGTGGTGTGTTTTTCAAGCTGCAGAGTCCAGACTCAAACCTTGCAGTTGGCTATATAGGATCTGATTGCCTTAACTACCAGACCACAGAGTCAGCCCATAGTTAACAATTTTTAGTAAATGTATAGATTTCTGCAACCATCACAATGCTTCAGTGGTAAAACATTTCTACCATTCCAGAAAATTTCATCAACCCTGATCCCAACCATAATCTAAGACTGCTTCCTATTACCATGCATCTCTTCTCTATGGACATTTTATATAAATCCTATATTATGCAGTCTTTTCTACTGGGCTTCTGTTACTTAATACAGGGAGCATATATCAGTATTTTGTTCCTTTTTATTTATACCCTATGGATATTTATTTATCCATAAACCAGCTGATAGGCATTTGGCTTGCTTCCAGTTTTTGACTAGTAAGAATAATGCATCCAGGTCAGCAGGTGGCATGGTGGTTGAGGTGCTGGACTCCCACATGGCTGATGATGGTTTGAGTCCCAGACTTGGAAGCTTCAAGTCACACTGGGTGGGTGTGTGCACATATCCAAAATTCAAAGAGGGGAATAGAGGACAAGGGACTGTAGTGTGCCCCCACTGGAGGGTGATTTTTCACTTTCCTTCTCTCAGTCTCTGTCTTTCTCTGGGAAGTACACACACGCTATAGCAAAAACCTTAAAAAAAAAAAAAAAAAAAAGAAAGAAAGAAAGAAAAAGAAAGAAATCCTTCTATGAATATTCAAGGAGAAGTGTTTGGGGAGACATAGGTTTTCATTTTTCTTGGGTATATCCATAGAAGTATAATTGCTGGATGTAGGGTGTCTTAATTTTCAAGAAGCTGCTAAAGTGATTGTACCATTTTACATTCCTGCCAGCAGTGTATGGCGGAGGTCCTAGTTACATAGGTTTATTTTTTTATTTTATTAAAATAATTCTAGAGAATAAATAATAGTTTTAGTTGTTTTTTTTTTTTTTTTTGCCTAATAACTAACGATACTGAGCACTGTTTAAAAAATGCTTATTGATCAATTTATTTATTTCATGAGAGAGAGACAGAGAGATAGACAAATGGGTAGGTCTCCTTGATGGGGTCTCACTATGCTGCAATACTCTTTCCAGCCTCAAGACAGCCAGGATCACGGGCCTATTTGGGCATGCCTGGCACGCCTAGGTACACCTGGGACATGATCCCAGAGCTTCCCATCTGGCCTCCAGCATCCACACAGCAGTGCCCCTACTGTCTGCACCACCTCAGCTGGGTGAATTAACCTGTAAATTTGGTGACAAGATCTCTACATTTTCTTCCCAAATGGTTACATAGAACCCATTGCTTTTGAATAATATTTCTACTACTTCAAAAGAAAATATTTTTTAATGTTCTAAATTCTAAATAAACACCTAGGTCTATATCTTGACTTTTTTTTGGTTTTTGGTCTACAATGGTGATGAACCTTATTTATTTATTTTTAATTTGTTAGAGGATACCTGCACTTACCAAGGAGGGAGGGGGAAAGAGACAGAAGGAGGAGGAGAGAGAGAGAGAAAAAGAAAAAAAGAGAAAAAGAAAGACAGAAAGCATCACCTCCCACCTTGGGGCATAGTCACACTACAATCCCTTTTCCTCAATTTCTCCTTGGGGATTTGGGCATGTATGCACACGTGCATGTTGTGTTTCATAAGTCATTGTTGGGTCTGGGATTCAAATTGTGTAGTTGGCCACATGGGATTCAGCCACCTTAACTACTGCTGTACCAGCTGAGCTCACGATTTTTAATATTGAATATATTTTTAGTTGACTTAATTACTGTGGTTTTAAATAATGTTTCTGAACAGGAGTGCTATGGCCCTGTGGGCAGGATGATTCTTCATTGTTTGGGATCGCCCTTTGGTATTCCACTCAGTAAACAAGAATAGAATCCCCCATCCATTTAAGCTAGAGGAGACTTGGCAATGTATGGAGATGCTTTTGGCCATCACAACTACAGTGAGTAGGAGGGTACTGCAGGCATCTAGTAGATAGTGGTGAGGGATGCTGTTTAATATCCTGTAATGCAAAGGCCAGACCTTCCATGACAAAAATTATCCAGGAACGGCAACAGCTCCAAGGCTGAGAACACACTTCCATTATTTCTAAAAGCTCCAGACTGAGTTTAAAAGCTACCAGTTTAGAAAAGATTCAGATACCAGGGGAAGGTAAGACCCCTCATTATCTTTCCTTTCCAAAATTGTCTAGCATTTCATTGCTCAAATTATTTTCAATCAAATTCTTATTAAAAATAAAAAAAGAAGTAAAGAAGTCTACTCCACTTAGGATTAATCGACCTTAAACTTTAGACTAATTTAGAAATAATTAAATCTATATATACTAAGCAATCCAAGGAGGAAAACAACATGCTTCTCTATTATCCTCCAAGAATTTCTCCACAAACTGTACTACCATCGCCACTAATTTTAGATCATTTAATAACCACCAGAGAAATTCCAAACACATTAGAAATTGGGCCTGTGTGGGACCAGCAGGTGGCGTGATTGTTAACGCACTGGGCACTCTCACATGGCCAAGCACGGTTTGAACCCTGGACCAGGCAGCTTGCTTTCTGACTTTCTCTCTCCCCCTCTGGTCAAATTAAAAACAAAACAAAACAAAACAGAAAAGAATAAATAAAATTAAATAAATAATTCTTAAAAAACAAAAAAGAAAAGAAATTGGGCCTATGTGAGGGTACTTTAGCAGGTTCATGGAAAAGTGAAACGAAAGCACAAGAGAGCCAGCTGGTGGTACAGTGGTAACGCACGCTCTGGGATGTTGGGCCCACGTGGCCAATCCCTCCGATTCATATCCTGAGATCTCCCTGTACACACATGTGCCAATGGGGTTGGGGTGAATTATGGAGCTAACACCCTATTGTGTGTACATGCATCTGTGTGTGTGTGTGTGTGTGTGTCTCTCTCTCTTTGGAAAGAGATGAACTTAATGAGAACAAAAACCCAAACCAACAAGAAAGAAACTTAAAAAAAAAAAGAAAAGAAAAAAAGAATGAGTTCATTTTGGTGCAAAACAATTTTGAAATCAACTCTGTCTCTCCATAATATATACACATTTTCCATGAACTTTCTGGAGGCCCCACATTTAGAGAGTACACATTTTTTAAAATGAAAATTATTTTAGATAAAGCTCTAGTAAATACATGTATGAATGTATATTTGACTCATAAGTAGGCAAAAGAAAATCATTGAGTGCCCTATGGCAAAAAAAAATCTTTTAAAAAAATAAAAATCATGAAATGAATTCCAGAGGATAAAACATGACTCGCTGGGCCTTCTATACTTTTGCATTAGCAACATAAACATCCTTTTGAGTAAGGCGAGTAGACGAGAGCTGACACTGACAGTCAAGCCAGGCTTTTATGTGCTTCTTAGCATTTTTGTATCCACAGCCAAATACTATGATTAGGAGGGAATATAGGTAACATAAGGTACAAGACTGCTTCCTTTAATATTCCCTCTATCAATTCCAAAGAGAAAAGTCTAGAAAACAAAGCCACAGCCTTTCAAAGACACAAATTTTCTTTCTTTTTTTCAAGTTTTGCTAGAGGGCAAGTGAGCTTGTCAGAGAGAGGGAGAGAAAGTGAGAAATCCTTGTTTAAGGAGAATGCTCATGCCACAAGCCCTTCTCCATTCTCCTCTGGGGATTTTGGGCATGCATGCACACACATCTGGAGTGTTTTTCAACCCATTGGGTCTGGCACTCAAACCATGCAGTTGGCCTTAACCTCCATCCCACCCACTCCAAGTGTTTTCTCTTTAGCTTAAGTTCATGCATATTTTTAAACTTTTAATAACTCTTATTTTATTTAACTTTATTTATTTAAATTTGACCAGAGAGGGACAGGGTAAGAGAGAGAGAAAGAGGGCGAGAAAGTGAGAAAGCAAGCTGCCAGGTCTGTGACTTGAACCATGGTTAGCCATGTGGGAGTCCAACACCCTTAACCACCATGCCACCTGCTGGCCCCAGTTCATGCAGTTTTGAAGAACCCACAACCCTCTATTCGATCATTTACAATAGTCATAAAATAATAAAGTCTACATCAACCCTGAATAATGAAAGAAAACTCACTGTCGGTAAATGCATATTCTTCCTCATATTCATCACTGTCATCAGATGGAGCTCTATAAGGCGGCGGCAGTTTCATAGGAGGCGGAGCAGTTCCTTGCCTCTAAAGATGCAAATTTCGAGAGAAGCGTTAATTGCTTTTGTATAATCCTCTTTCAATGACAAAAAAACATAAAAAGATAATCTGGAAATATTTTGACTGTACCCAACTTGAGTCACATCATAAGAATTGCAAAATGAATATAATTTATTCCTCTTACGCTTATCATATAGACGTGACTCTATGATGTAAACACAGCAATGCAGAGAAACAGGAATTCAAAACACAGATTTTTTTAGACTGTAGACCTACTTAGAACAATGCACTATTTTCCCTGGTGAAAAAGCCAATTATATATAACTTCTCTAAACTATGAAGTTTCATTTTCTTTGGTATAAACAAAATAGCTAAAATGAAAGACATTTATAAAATAAACCTAAAAGTAAAAATTACATATTAATTCTACAAATAAGTTTTTTCTTCAACTGGAGTTACAGATTTCATTCTTAAAAAAGACACTTGAAATACCAATATTTTCTAACTAAAAATATTTATAATTTATAGATGGTCAACATACATTTAATGTTTTAAAAAAGAGGTATCTTTATGATGAATAATTATTTCTGCCTAAGTATGCTTTCAATTTACATGCCAAATGATCAAAATGAACACACCAAATAGATAACACATCACTATTTAATTTATATAGAAAATTAAAGCTGAACAACACCCTATCATCAGATTACCTTCACGGAATGGAGATATTTTCTTGAACGCTGGGAAAAATAAAACATGCCAAGCTTTACGGAGAGATCCAGCTGCTAAAAAGAATAGTTGCCTATATACCCAAGCACTCCCAAATACCAAAATAGCTGGATTAGGATTTGTTTTGCTACAGGTTTCAATAAAGTGCATTCAATTATGTTTATATGACAAAACCACTAATGGCAGGATACACTTCAGTAAATGGACGATGACTGGCCCATTACAGAAAGCCAGCCTGTAATAAATTCCTCCAAAATACAAAACACTACTTGGACTTCGTAAAAAGAAAACACACACACACACACACACACACACACACACACATATATATACAATAATGTCTAACCAAAATAGTAATTCTATATATTTGTAGAAAATCCAAAAATTGATAAAATGCAAGAGTGATGAAGGAAGAACATAGAAGCCAAATACCAAATGCTTCTTAAGCAGCAGTAAGAAATGTGATCACCGTGTCTCTTAAACTCTTTTAAGATGGACAAAACTTAAAAGTGGCTGAAATGCAATGTAAAAGCAAACGAATCTTGGGAACCAGCAGTTAGCGTAATGGCTATGTCGCTGGACTCCCACGTAGTCGACCGTGGTTCGCGTCCCGGACCCGGTGGCTTAAAACTCACGCCGGGCGCGTGTGCGTACGTGCCCAAGATCCCGAGAGGAGAATGGAGGAGAAGGGATTGCGGCGTGACCACCCCCCCTGGGGGGTGATTTCTCGCTTTCTGTCTCTATGTCTCTCTCTGTCTGTCTGGCGAGCGCACGAGCCCTATAGCGAAAAGCAAACGAATCTTCTGAGTCCAGTTTTCCACTAAAACCAGGTTATTATATATCAGATAATACTCAAAGACAGCAAGATTAAAATAATACTGAGATGGCAATTCTCTTTAATACCAGTGTTTCATATTGGAGGGGAAATTGCAGTCAATTTAATGAGTTAGTTTCTACTAATACTCTTCAAAAGAATACAGAAAAGCATGTCCTGGTCTCCCTACAGTTTGAATGTGAACTGCCAGATACCTAGGGCGTCTTTCCACTGAGCACAAGAGGGTACAACAAAGGCCCTTGCTGGAGCAAGGGATGTACAACTAGGCCAGGTGATCGCAACCTCCATGAGAGCGAATGACAAAACGCACTCCACGTTATCCTTAACTCTCAGAACAGTCCCCAACACAAAGGAGGCTCTCCTTAACTATTGGGCCCTCAGAAAAGTCATGACGTATTTTTTCTATGTGTTTCTATGCAAAAATGAGCGTGACTTTTTCTGACAACCCAATATTTGCTCAATGACAAAACAACCTGTTGTCAAGGTTTCTTGACATGTTCACTTTTAGGACTATGACAGTGATGCAAATGATTCTTGTTCAATGGCATTGCATATTAATTTTTTTTGATAGAGATGCAAATGATTTCATTCTGTAGAAAAGATAGCGTAAAAGGTTGCAGTTTTATTGCACCATAAGACATTAACCAGTTTTGTACATAAATTTCCATTGTGAACAGTTTCTTTCAGTAATTATAAATACTTCACTCTCTTCAATTCTATCTGAACCAGTCATATCATCTTGTTGGTTCCCTCATTAACGGGTTAAATAAATACTTAGCTTCTGCACATTTTGTATAATTTTATGAGTTGTGTTTTTTCTTCAATTATGATTGGACAGTTTTGAAGATCCCACTGAGATGGTCAGAGACGCACCTTCCCAGAGCTAACTACACTGTGATGCCTTGGCTATGCAATTCGCAAGCTGTTTGACCCCATCTTTGTGATTTTTTAGCTCCCACAGTGAATCCCAACTGGTAACAGAACTTTAACTTTTTGACTGTTTCTGTTTTTCATTCCCAGTTCTGTTTTTGTTGCCGATAGCAGGCCAAGTTTGGTTCTGATATGGACTTGGGCTGTGATTTATTCCCCATTAGTAGCACAATAAATGGAGTCAGGTTTTACAGTCTTACCATTTAGTTATATTTTTGGGATAATGAGACTATTCTATACTGGTTCCTCAGAGATCTATTCCCCATAAGTTGAAAGACAATAGAGAATGTCTTTTTGTTTGCCTCTGTATTTTTGTCTTAGACTCACTAGAGAGAAAAGCTCTTTTATTTTTTTCTCAAGTTTATTTCTTTTTTGCATGCACAAGAGAGACAACAAGGGACCAGCAGTTAGCGTAATGGCTATGTTGCTGGACTCCCACGTAGTCGACCACGGTTCGCGTCCTGGACCCGGTGGCTTAAAACTCACGCCAGGTGCGTGTGCGTGCGTGCCCAAGATCCCAAGAGGAGAATGGAGGAGAAGAGATTGTGGTGTGGCCATCCCCCCTGGGGGGTGATTTCTCGCTTTGTCTCTCTGTCTCTGTCTGGCGAGCGCATGCGCCCAATAGCAAAAACCTCTCTCAAAAAAAAAAAAGAAAGAAAGAAAGACAATGAGAGAGGGAGAGAGAGAGAGAGAGTGCACATATGCACGCACCCCCAACAGGGTTTTAATACAGAAATCTACTCTCAGCCCTCGGTCAGCCATGAGAAAGCATGTGTCCAGCATACTCGGGGAGGTGTTCAGATTTGAACCAGGAACTCTTCCAGGTGGGACTGTCTCATAGGATGCCACATCTTACCATAAGTGCAGCACTGTCTCACCCCAAGAACAGCTCTTTGACAAATAAACTAGTGAGTTCTTGCATTTTTGTTTTTGTGTCTATGTGTGATATATGGCTATAGGTGGAGGAGAGAAGCTGAAAGCTCTCTGTGCATATGCAGTTCAGAAATGCACTTCTTTTTTTTTTTTTTTTGAGACAGAGATTTTTGCTATAGGGCTGTGCGCTCACTGGAGAAAGAGAGAGAGAGACAGAGAGACAGAATGTGAGAAATCATCCTCCAGGGAGATAGCCTCACCACAATCCCTTCTCTTCCATTCTCCCCTTTGGAACTTGGGCACACACGTACCCGGCATGAGTTTTAAGCATCTGAGTCCAGGACTTGAACTGTGGTTGACTATTTGGGAGTCCAGCAACATAACCATTATGCCATCTATTGGTCCCCTTAACTCTCATTTTAAGTGCTAAATATTTTCCTCCCTTCAGAGCATGTTAATATATTAGATGTCACTTAAAATAAAGAATCTCTTTCTGATTGGTGGAGACTAATAAGCATTATTTAAATCTAACATTCCCAGAATTTCCAAAAAGAGTGAAACTAAAGTTTGTATTACCTTAAATGTGCCCATCATTTTTTGGGGGGGAACTATTTAATTTAATTTATTATTATTTTTTAATTTGACCAGAGAGAGAGAAAGAAAGTAAGAAAGCAAGCTGTGGGACCAGCAGATGGCATAATGGTTATGTCACTGGACTCCCATGTAATCAACTGCGGTTTGAGTCCTGGACCCAGCGGCTTAAACTCTCACAAGGTACGTGTGTGTGCATGCCCAAGATCCCAAGAGGAGAATGGAGGAGAAAGGATTGTGGCATGACCATCACCCCTAGGGAGTGGTTTCTCGCTATATCTCTGTTTTTTTTCTGTCATTCCAATGAGTGTACATGCCCTATAGCAAAACCTCTCAAAAAAAAAGAAAAGAAAAGAAAGAAAGAAAGCCACCAGGTCTGGGACTTGAACCACAATCAGCCCTGTGGGAGTTCAGTGCCTTAACCACCACACCACCTGCTCCCCCCACTCCAGTCAGTCTTTTAATTAAAAAAAATATAAATCCTCTTTTCACAGCCTTTGCACACCCTTAGCCAGACCCAGATCTTGGGCATGCATGTGCCTAGTGTGTTTTGGGAGGTCTTCAGACACGAACCCAGAATCTTCCCCCTGCCGGCTTCACAGAGCACTGCATTACTGCTGCCCCCCTTGACCACTCTCCATTCCCTTTTTTTTTTTTTTTTGGA